AAAAAAAAAAAAAAAGGATGAAATTCTTGGGTTGCCTGGGTGGCTCAGTTGGTTAAGTGTTCAACTCCTGTTTTTGGCTCAGGTCATGATCTCACAGTTGGTGAATTCCAGCCCTGTGCTTAGGATTCTCTCTCTCCCTCTCTTTCTGCCCCTCCCCTGCTCACATGCGCTCTCTCTCTCTTTCTCAAAATAAACTTTAAAAAAAAGATGAAATTCTGTCTTTCTCCTCATACAGAATAATTTCTATTAATTTTACCACTTCAGGATCAGCCCATGCATTGCCACACACACACATTCCTTATTTGTAAATATAAACTTTTAGTCAAGTCCCATTTCGATACATCTTGGGGAACCTTGCTATTGAACACTGTAAATATTTAAAAACTATTACAACTGATGCCAGATTTCTTGTTATCAAAGATAAGACCAGAGATGTCCAAAGATAAAAAATTTTGTAAGTTCAGAATGGCACAGCGAAAGAGCACACATTGTTCAGGCAATCTTGGCAGAATCTAATGTCATAAAATTTAAAAGTCAGAAAACTCTGTAAGAGAAAAAAGGAGAATATTCTCCGCAGGTCCATCAGATAAATCTGAATTCAAAACCCAGATCTGCTATATGATTAGCTATATGACCTTCAGCAAAGAAAGTACTTAACATCTTTAGGTTTCAGATTCCTGATCTACGAAATGAGACTCACAGGGCATACTTCAGTGAGTTGTTTTGAATCTTAAATGAGAAAACATACGGGTAAAGTCTACAAATGTTAGTTTCTTGTTCTCCTCTAGACATGAAAATGAAAGCATCTAAATTAAAATTAGTCATATGTAGGGGCGCCTGGGTGGCTCAGTCAGTTAAGCCTCTGACTTCGGCTCAGGTCATGATCTTGCACTCTGAGTTCGAGCCCCACGTCAGGCTCTGCGCTGACAGCTCAGAGCCTGGAGCCTGCTTCAGATTCTATGTCTCCCTCTCTCTCTGCCCCTCTGCCTCTCATGCTCTCTCTCTCTCTCACAAAAATAAATAAACATTACAAAATTTAAAAATTAATAAATAAAAGTAGGCATATGCAAACTTAACCTTTAGAAAATACATCACAAAAATGAAATTAATTCTACCAATAGCTTTAAAACGAACAAACAAGCAGCAAAAGGATCAGGCATACCTTAATTTGGTAGTTTTTCAACTTTACATCCCAGATTCCAATTGTTCAAGTACATCTGGACACGGGGAGAAATTTCCCTACAAGGGAATGTGGGGACAAAAGTTGGCATTGTTTGGATTAGGGCCAGCATTCCAACTCCTTCTGCTGAGTCTTCTGCCTTTTTTTCATTTAATGAAGTCTATTACTGTGTAACTTCCTCCATTCCCTCTTAGCTTAATGGAAATGCTAAAAGCAATCCCCAATATCAACATATCAAATAGCCTGGGTGGTAGTCTCAGTCCTAGATGAGTCTACCTACCTGCTGTGGGGGCCTTGCTACATTACAGAGGTCATGGTTGCAGACACACCCTTTGGCCAAGGGTGTTGGCAAAGCTAGAGTCACTAATGGCGCTGACGACAAACAGGAAGTGTCCGATGACTCTGTAAGACTCCTTAAAATGCCCTTAATACTAGGAAGTTGTGGCTTTCTGCTGATATCATGGACTAAATTGTTGGGGGTGGTGGTGGTTGGCTTTTTAAGTTTTTATTTTAATTCCGGCTAGTTAGCATACAGTGTAATATTAGTTTCAGGTATACATTATAGTGATTCAACACCCGGTGCTCATCATAGCAAGTGCACTCCTTAATCCGCATCACCTATTTCACCCACGCCCCCCACCTCCCCTCTGGTAACCATCAGTTTGCTCTCTATAACTGAGTCTGTTTTGGGGCGGCTGGGTGGCTCATTCAGTTAAGCGTCCAACTTCGGCTCTGGTCATGATCTCACAGTTCATGGGTTCGAGCCCCACGTCGGGCTCCGTGCTGACAGCTCAGAGCCTGGAGCCTGCTTCGGGTTCTGGCTCTCCCTCTCTCTCTGCCCCTTCCCTGCTCGTGCTCTGTCTCAAAAATAAAGAAAACATTTTTTTAAAAGAGTGTTTCTTAGTTTGTCTCTTTTTCACTTGCTCGTCTGTTTTGTTAAATTTCACATAGGAATGAAATCATATGGCACTTGTCTTTCACTTAGCATTATACCCTTTAGCTCCATCCATGTCATTGAAAATGGCAAGATTTTATTCTTTTTTATGGCTGAATAATATTCCTATCTTCTTTATCCATTCATCAATTGAGGAACACTTGGGCTGCTTCCATACCTTGGCTGTTGTAAATGATGCTGCTATAAACAGGGGTGCATGTATCCCTTCAAATTAGTGTTTTTGTATTGTTTGGGTATATACCCAGTAGTGTCATTGCTGCATCCTAGACTAGTTTCTATTTTTGACTAGTTCTATTTTGGCTTTTTGAGGGAACTTCCATACTGTTTCCCACAGTGGCTGCACCAGTTTGCATTCCTATCAACAGTGCACGAGTATTTTTTTTCTCCACATGTTCGCCAACACCTGTTGTTTCTTGTGTTGTTGATTTTAGCCCTTCTGACAGGTGTGAGGTGACAACTCATTGTAGCTTTGATTTGCATCTTCCTGACGGTAAGTGACAGTGAACATCTTTTCATGCATCTATTGGCTATCTGGATGTCTTTGGAGAAATATCTGTTCACATCTTCTGTCCATTTTTTAACTGGATTATTTGTTTTTGGGGTATTGAGTTTTATAAGTTCTTTATGTATTTTGGACACGCACCCTTTATCAGATATGTCATTTGCAAATCTCTTCTCCCATTCCATGGGTTGCCTTTTAGTTTTGTTGGTTGTTTCCTTCACTGTGCAGAAGCTTTTCATTTTGATGCTGTCCCAATAGTTTATTTTTCCTTTTGTTTCCCTTACCTCATGAGACATATCTAGAAAAAAGTTGCTATGGCTGATGTCAAGGAGGTTACTGCCTATGTTCTCGTCTAGGATTTTGATGGTTTCAGGTCTCACATTTAGATCACCCATCCATTTTGAATTTATTTTTTTGTATGGTGTAAGAAAGTGGTCTGGTTGCATTCTTCTGCATGTTGCCGTCCAGTTTTCCCAACACCATATGTGGAAGAGACTGTCTTTTTTCCATTCAATAGTCTTTCCTGCTTTGTCAAAGATTAGATGACCATATAGTTGTGGATCCATTTCTGGGTTTTCTTTTCTGTTCCATTGATTGTGTGTCTGTGTTTGTGCCAGTACCACACTTGTCTTGATGACTACAGCTTTGTAATATAGCTTGAGGTCTGAAATCATGATGCCTCCAGCTTTGCTTTGCTTTTTCAGGACTGCTTTGGGTATTCGGGGTCCTTTATGGTTCCATACCAATTTTAGGATTGTTTGTTCTAGATCTGTGAAAAATGCTGGTGGTATTTTGATAGGGATTGCATTAAATCTGTAGATTGCTTTGGGTAGTACACTTGAACAATATTGGTTCTCTCTATCCATGAGCATGGGATGTCCTAGACTAATTTGTTGATCAGTTGGTCAACCCTTTAGTCCTTGCACATCCAATGGCTAGAATTTATAATGAGTTTGAGGAATATGATAAACAGATAAGTATGGGGATCAAGGCTGCTGGGAGGTGGGTGCTGGAAATGATTAAGAAACCACTGGACATGAAAAAACATGGGCCACTGACTGCACCATGAAAGCAAAGCTCATCTGTCACAAACATCTGTTTTCTTACTCCTTCCCTTCATCCCTGTTTGCCTCCCTCCTTTTTTTCTCTTCCGACAAATATTTATTAGGTGTTTATGTATGCATAGTACCACTAAAGTTACAAATGAGAATGAAACAAGCTGATTCTTGTCTTCGGGGAACTTCCACTCTAGTGAGGGAGACACACAAAGAACAAACAAAGTCAACACAGAAAAAGGCTGTGAATTTTCCCCAGACTTGATCAAACTCAGGATATGCTGTTGCCACCATGTGGACAGCTACCCTTTCTAGCTTCCTGCCTTTGTGGTCTGCACAGCTAGGTCTCCCACTGAAATGAATAAATGGCAGCACTGCCACCTAACGTCTTTAAAAAGATAAACCTTTAGGGGCACCTGGGTGCCTTGGTCGGTTAAGGGTCTGACTCACGATTTCAGCTCACGTCATGATCTCATGGTTCGTGAGCTCGAGCCCCACATTGGGCTCTCTGCATGGAGCCTGCTTCGGATCCTCTGTCCTCCTTTCTCTCTGCCCCTGCGCTGCTCACATTCTCTCTCTGTCTGTCTGTCTCTCTCTCAAAAATAAATAAACATTAAAAAAATTAAATTAACTTAAAACTTTTTAAAATAGGGGCACCTGGGT